CCCCAAAACCCCAAAACCCCAAAACCCCAAAACCCCTTAAATTCTAGAATTTTTAAAAAATATAATTTTAATGCAGAAGAAAAAGGGTAAAAAGGAAGGAAAAGTGGATGATACGGATTTTGTTCCTAAAAATCAGGTTATTTTTAGTATAGATTTTGAGATTTATCATGAGAAGGGGCATTTTTTGAAACTGAAATATACGTGGCTGAACCCGGCAACGTTGGGGACAGAGAGTCATGAGAGTGATTATGTGAAGGATTGGCAGGTTTTGAGGCGTGATGGCGAGCAGAGGGTAGATGAGACTGATGAGAAGAAGGATGAGAAGAAATAAGCAAACGAAGGATATTAAGAAAGGAGGCATGGACCAAATTGATGACCCTACCCCCACCGTTGTGTGATTTAGGAAGGATTTTGAGGGGGCTCCCATGAGATTTAGTGAAGAAACTGCGAATAAATGGAGCGAGTTTGTTTTTAAGGTTGATATTTTTGAATATAATCATAAGACTAGCAAAGATGAGCTGAAAGAGAGCCTGGCTATTGATCTTAGCTTCTTTCTCTTCCCTGAGGAGAAGATTGACGAAGAATGGAATTTCGATCAGCTTAAAATTTATTCATTAAATTACTTGAAACTTCGAATCACCAGTGATCATGCTTTGCTTTCAGAATTCTTGAGGAAGAAGCTAAATCCTCTACAGATATATATACTAGCAGCAAAAGATATTCCAGATAAAGCTGAGGGTAAATATCTCCCTGTATACACTGTTTGCAACTTTGTTGATGGACAATCATTCAGAACTGTTGGACTCCCTCAAGGAAATTTATGCAGGTGGAGTCACAAGCATGTCTTATTAGTTGGAGAGAAAGACCCAGCTGAATTTTCAGAGCAATTGCTATCTAAAACCCTTGATCTCGAACTCCATGACTGTGATGAACAGATTAGCGAGGAAGATAAGGATGATCCTCCTAATTTTTCATATGGGTTGGCGAAATTTCACTTAAATGACCTTCTTAATCATTATTGATCGAATATGAAACTCAGGTCTGATGTTTTTCCTGTTAAGAGAGAACTTATGAACACTGAGAATAATCTCAACTTGAACACATATGCCAGAAAAGAAGAGAGAGCAATTGAAAAATCCTCTCCTTACCTTGTGAATGCTACATTCTATGTAATTTCAGTCGATATGGCTTATAATATTGGAGAATTTGACGAAGAGGAAGAATTACTGAAGCTCAAGTCTAAGGATGACCAAAACCAAATTCCTGATGAAATCCAAGCTAAACAACCCAATGATATCGAGGAATCAGAAGACGAGGATAATCCTTTAGATGGTTCCATCGTTGAGAAGATCGAGGATGAAAATGCTGCTATTTATGAAAGGGCTGTCTACATTCTTCCATATGAAAAGACTTCGGAACTTCTGAGTAAAATTCTTAATTCAATCGAAACAATCAATCTGAAACTTCTTGGATTTGAAAACTCAAAACAGCTCAACACGAAGGAATTCTCAGATGAAGAGCGTCAGAACAGGAAGCTAGACTTCATCGGAGGATTTGAAGTTATGGACGAGGAGTTTAGGATGATCGTCATCGAAGGTCTTGGAGGCAAAGGCCACAGTATGAACAAATTTTATAAAATGAACCAACGTACTCAACCAAACCAGAAAAGGCTAAAACTTTTATATAACCCTGAAGTAAGATTTAAGTATAGAAATTATTGGGACTTTGGAGCTACTCTTAAGCGGATAAAGTTCAGGGAAACCCTCACTACCACCATGAGTAGTCCAAGTGTATTTCTTCGATCTAAAGTTCCGAAGGAGATTTATGAAACTTTGCAACAGCTGGCTGAAATGAGAAAGTACAACAGAATCAGATTCATAAAAGATTATAATCTGTTCCCAGATCCAGATCTTCTTCTCTCGGTAGGAAGGAAATATGGTGATGCTCTTTCACACAAAGATCTGTATGGAGTAGCTCAAAAGCCTAAAAGAAAGAGGAAGCAGCATGAAGAACCTGAAGTACAAGTGGTCCTAACTCAGCAGCAAGAGGATACTTTGAAGAATAAGACTCATAAGTCTAATCAGAAGATTGCTATTTCTACTTCCACCAGCGTGCAACAGAGAAGGAGGACAGCCAATACCACAACTCTTAGGAAAACAAAGAAAAATGATCTTGGATATATACCTAATAAGCCTTACACTCCAAAGTTAAGAATGGAGGTTCCTGAAGGTACAGAAGTATACATGTACTCTGGTCAAAGACTTAATATTCGTGAAAAGGAGAAGGAAGAGTTAAGGAAGAAGCTAGCTCAGGATACTAAAAGTTTCTATACCTATTCTGCTGACCATCTATCTCTTTCATTTCCTGTTATCAACGAAAGTGAAGTTGCAGTTCAGGAGAAGACTATGAATCAAAAGAGATGGAAAACAAAGCATGGATTTCAAAATGTGACTAAATAAGACAAGACAAGATTATACTATGCATCCCAAGAAGCCTCCACAAGATGTTCTCGATGACCTCAAGGATCCCTTCCATGAGCAAAAGGCTCGGAAAGAGGCTGCCATTAAGTCACTACAGAGGGACTTAATTGCAAACCCAAACAAGTCTGGATTTAACCTGAATATTAAGAATGTGGATACCTTTAGCAGCAAGGATTACTTTAACACAGTCTTCCTTGGAGGAGATGATGTAATTGCAGAAATGGAGCAATCTAAGAAAGCAGAGAATGAGAAATGGAAATCTAAACTTGTAGTTGACAATCCTCATTTCAACGTAAATACTCGTCCTAAGAAAAGGATCCAACAGATTGAGAAAAAGGGAGGAATTCTGGAGGACCCACCTAAAAAGATCGGTGTTCGAGGTCCTCTACACAATCGTTTCCAAAGACTTGCTTCCAGGAACATAGTCCCATGCTCTTATACCTCTGCGTTCATGACTGAGAAGTATTCTGACCCTAAAGACCCATTCTCTAATCTAAAGCCGGATGATCCTTCCAAGATGCAAACTCCGAATGGTTTTAACACTAATATCAGGAATGACACACTTACAGGGTACATTCCTAAGTTTCGAAAGCTTCATTAAACTTGAAATTAATTATTTTTGAAAGTCTGATAAATTTCAGGAACTAATAAAAATCAGGATCTAATCGAAGGATACCTCTGAAGGAATTCCTCTCCTCGGTAGTTATTCAAAGATAAGTTCCAAAAGATTCATCTAACCCATACAGAAGCCAGAGAGGATCGGGCCAAAGTGGAACTGAGCTTAGTTAAGCTTCCTGAAATATTCTGAATTTTCAATTTATTTCTGCTTTAGAGGGGTTTTGGGGTTTTGGGGTTTTGGGGTTTTGGGG